GAACAGAAGCCAAGAGGTCCTTCCTGAACCTGTTCTCCAGTCCGTTGCTACAGGACAGTCTCAGGACAATTCCTTAATCAGTACAGAGGCCTGTGGTGGTTGTAAGGGACTCCTCTCAGCTCAGGCACAGTGTCTGTAGGGGGTGTGTGGAGCTCCTGTGTTCTCTCCAATGCCCTTTCCCTCTTTATTGACACCTCTTCTAGGTAGCTTCTGATTTTGGCAATTGGATCTGCCTGTCTCCTCCTTTACTCTAAGTGTCTCCCTTCACTTCTCTGATGGTTTACAATGCTCACTCCAAGAAGGCTCATCCATAGGTTAGCATCTACCTGCAACTTTTAATCCCCTCCTTGAAAGCAGCGTGTGTGGGTTGCTTCTAGTCTGCCATCTTCAAGAAGTCATTTCAGCTGTAAATTTCTTCATGCTGCATACCTGTTTTATAAACTGTTGTTGAAGTAAATGTTTCCAGATATTTGTAGATAATAGTGGAAAACCAATAATGGAAGATGTAAAAGATGTTAACCAAAAGATTGGTTAACAATTGGTTAGGAAGCAAATCTCACTGTTGAGGATTAAATGAGAATGTTTATCATAGAACTTAAGAAATTAAAAGATGTTTAAGCAAATACCATTTCATATTATAACATTAAGGTAAAAAGTGAGTATAAGACTGATAATAGGGTGATATATCTAAACAAATAAATTCATGATTGTAGTTTGAATATAAGAAAATTTACATAATAAATATTAGATTCAATAAATAGATGCTGAATATATAAAAAATAATAGCATGAAAGGTATTGTAGTATTTAATGAATTCAATGACAGTGTTTTTATAAAAAAGTTTAAAAGCTTTAAAAGTGAGAAAATAGATATTTAAGCAATAAAATTCTAAATGTAAATTATAGATAAAATTTTATCAATTCTAAAAAGAAGAAATGTCTCAAAATGGTAGTCACAAATGAGAAATGTCTTTCAATAAAGTTTTTAATTCAATTTTTTAAAAATGGCAAATATATAATTAGATATATTGATTTTATCAAAGTAGCAACTGTCATCTACAATTACCGAAGTGCTTGCAATTATTTATGGTTTGTAACAAACTATAATCAATTATAGAAACAAACTATAATCCCTAAAGTCTTTGGGATGCCATTTATAACTGCATGATTTTTTTTTTGGATAAGGTATAGTGATGATTGCATCCTCCACAGAGATGACAAATTGAGAATAAAAAAGACATGAAATGATTTCCAACACCTCAGATGGTCTCTATAGAACATCAGTAAAATTGAGTGTTTTCTAAGTACCGTCACCAAATGTGGCATTCAGGATGATGGAACTGAAGAACTGACAGTCAATTAGAAGTTCAGGGACATCATAGTACTATACATCCTGCTGATTATGTGGGGGCTTAACACTAATACAGATTAAGTGGTTTCCATCAAAATGTGATAGAATGACAACTGTTAAAGAAATATTAAAGAAAGTGTCTCTTGAAGAGACACTACACTGAAAAGAAATTTTCAGTTCAGTCTTCTATTTTTATCAATACAATCAGAAGAAAAACACTGGGAATTCTTTAAAGTAGAGAGCCTTGTAGGACTTACATTAACTGCATGATTGGACAGAAAATATAGAAAATTTAGTACTTCTGATGGTATCAGACATACTTGCACAAATTTTACTCATAGTTTTGTTTTTATTAAAGCATTACAAATGCTGATGATTTAACTGCAGATAGGGTTATATATATTTTTTTTTTAAAGAACAAATCTTATCAAATTAACTTGAAGGCAATGAAGCATTGGGAAGAAAAAAGTAAGGGCTTCTAAAAATTTATAGAAGATATCATTGCTTTAATGATCATATGTAAATTACTCTTTAAGGTACCATATTATTTATTCCTGTCTAATATGATCCATCTATATTTACAGGTGATAATATATTAACTGGTACTTGAAGAAAAAGTATGCTAGCCAAACATGCACATATATTAAATTTAGGGAATTCTCAGGAGAAGAAACAGCATTTACGAAGACAGAAGGTATGGAATAAACTGGCATATTTTGAAGTAGCTGGTATATAAGATGAGAGAATCAGAGATCAAATTTAGAATTTTAGTCTATATAGGCTAGGATTTAATTATAATGGATTTTGTTTTTATGCACCAAGATACAACACAAGTTTCCTTTAAAAGTACCCAAAAAAAGTATCAAGAAATAAAATAAATTTTAAGAAATATTTAATATCATAATGATCACAATATAGCAATATATTTCTAAAAGTTTGGACTGAAGTAGGAAACCCTGCTGATTAAAAAGTATAGTCAAAAAAAATTTAATTATTCAGATTATATCTGAAGATGCTCAGGGTAAAGGCTATAATACCACAAATAGAAAAAACGGATGCCTGTGTGTAAGTTTTATCTTACTAGGGCTGTCAGAAACCTATGCCAGAAAGAAAAAAATTAGCACTCAACTCACCATTTGTTCATTTTACACTTAGAAAATATTATTATAACATGAAGTGTATTAAATGTAGGGTGAATAGTGTTTTTTGCACTTTAAATATATACAATTTTTGTCAATTGTATCTCAATAAAGCTGAAAACATATTAACATTATTTTATGCTAAATTGCTAATATTAAATGGTGGTGCATTAGTTTGCTAGGGCTGTGATAACAAGACAACAGAAATTTGTTGCCTCATAGTTCTGAAGGCTTGAGATCTAAATTGAAGGTATAGATAGAGTTGGCTACTTCTGAGGGGAATGGGGGAAAGATTTGTTCCAAGCCTTTCTCTTTGGCTTTTAGATAGTGTGGCTTCCTTCCTATGTCTTTTCACGTTGTCTTCCTTCTATCTATGTCTTGGTGTCCAAATTTCCCCTTTTTCTTTTGTTCTTTAAATTTCAAAATATTATGGGGGTACAAATGTTTTTGTTTATATGGATAGCTTTTGTTATGCTTAATTCAGAGTGATAGTGTGCCCATCACCCAAATAAGTGTTCATTATACCCGTTAGGTGGGTTTTCGCCCATCCCCTCCTACCCCCTCTTCCCCCTGCTTGATTTCCACTGAATTTTACTTTGCCCTGTGCACATGCGTGACTATTGGTTATTTCCAATTTGATAGTGAACACATGTAGTGTCTGTTTTTCCATTCTTTAGATACTTCACTTAGGAGGATGGTCTCCAGTTCCAACTAAATTGTTGCAAAAAAGCCTTCTTCATGACTTAATAGTATTCCATAGTATACATATCCCACATTTTGTTAATCTACCCATGAATTGATGGGCACTTGGGTCGATTCCACATCTTTGCAATTGTGAATTGTATTCTATAGCTTTTATTTTTCCAATTTCCATCTAAACATTTTACTATGAAATTCGTATTCATTTTGTGAATAAATTCATTCCAAATAGCCTTTTCAAAATTATAATTAGCTTTCAATAATATAATGTCCTCTACATCTGTAAGTTTCCCTTAAGACATCTCTCAAGATGTCTATAAAATATCTGTATCTATTCATTAAGAATATAGAAATATGGTTCTATTTAGGATAGTATCAAAAGTAATTGATAAGAAAATGATTACTTTAATTATTTTCATTTCATACATGCAGATAAGATGCCCCTTAACATTTATGTATTTCCTTAAATAAAGATTTCTTATAAATGAATGTGATTATCTCAAATATTTTAGGAATCATAAAGGTTATCTTGAAATGGCACTGGAAGGTCATTTAAACCATATGTTATTAAGAAATATGATGCCATTTTCAGGCACAGTGGTTTCTTTAGGAAGCTTTTGAGCAAGTACTACACAGCATGATTCAAAATTTACCAATTTACATAATCCAATTAACTATTTTTCTGCTCGCAAATAAGTGATGGCTGATTCCTCTCTCCTATATGATAAATAACTGCTCTACAACATGAAACACAAGAATTTCATAAACATCAGTTACATTTAATTGATATTTAAACATTTTTTCAAGATGTAAGAGTCAAGCTATCAAATGTAGAGTTTTTAACAATTTAAGAAAAATAATTTTCTTGCTCATACAATTACTTTTTTGTCATCTTTGCTATATTTTTATTTCAGCAGATTATGGGGGTACAAATCTTTGCAATTTTTTATTTACTTGTTTTTATTTCAGAACATTATAGGGGTACAAAAATTTAGGTTAAATATATTACCTTTGCACCAACCACCTGAGTCAGATTATAAGTGTGCCCAGCTCCCAGACAGAGTGCACTGCACCCATTAGGTTTGAATATACCCATTCATATTATTTTTAATGAAACTAATAATACCATTGATTCCAAGAAACATCATTATTTTTTGAAGCATGTAAAAAAAAAATTTTAAAGCGTCCAATGAAATTATGGCATATCATCAATTATAAAATTGCTTTTATTTTATCAATGCTGAAATGTTAAAAAATTAGCCCTAAAATTGATAATTGTATTATTAATTTATTCTATTTAGTATAATAATATAAGATATATATCCAGAACTTTAGAGAAATGTTTAATTAATTTCTCCAAAGGTATGTTCTAATATTTTTCATGAAGGGAGATAAACATCTACATATTTATAACAATGAAAATTATTCAAAAAACATATTTGAATTTGGATAATGTTCTTGGTTACTTTTTAATGAACACTTTGTATCTTTCATTCTATATTTTACTTATGTTTCCTATTACATTTAGAATTTAAAGAACACAAAATTAGTTCTTTTATAGTATGCAGAATGTATGATAAATAAAACATTTAATACTATTAGCCTGATATTTGATTTGACAGAACTTGATAACTGATTTTTGTATTTTGTTATGCACCTATTAGGTAGAAAGTGAAGGATTCCAGGTCTCCTAGAAATGAAAATGGGTGCTGTTGCCCCATCTTGGTCCTGCCCAACCCTAATTCTTCATAGCTGGGGAAGGAGGAAATACCATACAAATTTGCCAATCAGAACTTGGTGCGCCAGCTGCAAAAGAATGCAGAGAACTCTCTAGCCCATGGGCCAAGTCACACAGGTACCATAAAGTTTAGAAAGTGACCTAGAACCCACATGCATTACTCAGGTCATGTGACTCCCAACTGTCTAATCAAAATAGTTCCATGGTGTCCCTGAAGCACAAGGGAGGTCCCTATCCAGACACTATAAAATAAGATGCACACCATAGCCAACGGCTTTCTCTTGGCCCTTCTGCTCGCTTGTCCTGCTGCGACAATGGGTCCGGTCATCATCTGTGTTGTATGTACCATGCTCTGTAAATCTATATCTTGCCTTTTCCCTATAATCCTATCTTTCTCTCCTCAATAAACCTCATTTTTGTGCTCGCCTAACTTTGGCATGTCTGGTCATTCTTCGACCAGAAGAATGGCACCAGGAACCAATGGTTTCAGACTGAAACCTAACATACCCTGTTGAGAGAATGACACCAACTACTTTTTTCTGTCCTGCTCACTTATCATTTAAAGAAATGAAGTATTTCTCAGGAAAAAAAAAAAAACACAACATCTTTGATACTTTTTTATTCTAATTATTATTGGCATAGAATTTCTTTGAAGTTGACAGAAAAGATTGTATTTCTAATGTTATTTTCTGTCTGGCAATTATTGAATCATTGAATAAATCTAGGTATAACTATTTGCTGAGAGAAAATGTAAACATAATGAAGAAAGAAAAATAGTATTTGATCATCTATCTGCATGTCAGTAAGGCAATTTCTTACTCAAAATGCTCTCTTGGCATCTATGTTACAGTTAATGTCTATTATAGAGATAAAAATACCCAAGTTTACATCTCAGTCAGTTCCAGGGAAAAGATAAACAACTGTGTTTGACTTCACTCAGATTTGCTTTTACATTCTTTGATAAATCCATCATCGAGGAAGGTAATTTAATTAATTTTCTTGAGTTAACTATTTAAATCAATATGTTTTTTATCCCTAAAGGTAAAGAATGTTAGAGCAGATAGAATGTGAAGTTTTCTTAAAGTTAATTTTTTCCCCAAATACAAGCTTCTACATGTATAAAAATTAAAAATTTTACCAATTTATCCAGTAGAATAAAATTCCAATGATATAAAAATCCCCCCAAATGTATCCAGTGAAATATAAACTACTGTAATAGGTATATTTAAATATCTCCAACTCTCTCTAATGAAAATTGAGTTGCTTCTTGAGTTAACCATGAGATTAGCTCCTGATAAGGCCATCATAAGTCACATATATTGTAAGTCAATAATGCATTTAATACCCTGATAAATTCATCATAAATCAGAGAAATCATTAAGTTGAACCATGATAAGCTGAAGACCATCTGTATTCTTCTCACTCCGTTTTTCTTAGTGGGTTTCCAGAGAATTCGCTATTAATGTTGACATTCAGTTTCTTAGAAACAATTAAGTCTTTCAGGAAGTAAAATGCAGATAGATAGATAGGCAGACAACTAATCAGGCACACAAACCATCATAAAACTATCATAAAACAGTCATGAATTATCCAAGCAGTTAGCATGGATCTTAAACCTGCTCATGTTAATATTATCTCAGGACAGGAAAGAAAAGGAGCAATATTTATCTATCGTATGAGCTAAAGAGATTAGCAGAGGCCCTCAAGTATACAGGCAGTCCCTAGATTACAGAAGACCCGATTTATGGCATTTCATCCTTAGGAATGGGCTTCCAAGGCTCCCCAAAGGATAATTTATAATTAAATCATTAAATTAATAATTTGGGAACTACTTTCTTCATCCCATGTAAGCAAACCCACATGGCTTCAGCGGTTCCTTGACATAGCATCTTTACCCTAGTCTCATTGTTTATACGGTTGCTTAAGCATAGCATTACTTTAGTCAATTTTTTAATTTGATTTTGTGAGTCTGTGTTTTCCTTTATGGCCAGACCTCCAAAGCAAAAGTCCACTGTAAGTCCAGATGACAATGCAGCAAAGAGAAAAGTGATTACAATGGAAATGAAAGCAGAAATAATTAAGCATTCAGAGAAAAGCCAGATGCCATCGTTCATTGGGAAAGCATTAGGCTTCAGCTGCTCAACTATCAGAACAGTCGTAAAGGATAAAGTAGGAATAATTGTAATAGAGGGAATGGCCTGAAAACAATGCCAAAATATTTTCTCTCTTTAACACATCCTGTAGTCCTTTTTGAAAACTAAAACCTGCATTCCTGCCTCATTCCAGTGGCTGGGAGGGGCAGGGCAAGTCTTTTATTATTTGTGCTCAAGGAGATGGCTCAGCTAGACCTGGCAAAGGGAGGTCCTAGGTGGAGGTCCGGAGATTGTCTTCAGGGATGATGGGATATTCAGAGTCATCAACTGTGGTTGAACAGTAATTGCCTGAAGGTGAGAACTCATCCTTTAAAAGCTCTGTATTTCTGATTATTATTAGGACAATGGCATTTCAGACAGGAGCCCCCATCGTCCTCCTTTTGCTAGCCAAATAACAAAATGTCTCTTTCCTTCCTCCTCAAACCACTCATCCTCTTTCTTCTGATGCATCCACATGGACAAGTGGCCAAGCTGTTGGTAAAAATGGAACATGTGAAAGGCAGTGATCCAATGAAAGCATCAATTATTATTAAGCAGCATAGTGGACTAATTATTGCAATGGAAAGCTTATTATTGATTTGGTTAGAAGATCAAAATAAGCATAACATTCCTATTAGCCTAGCATTAATGCAACTTTAGGTGAGTGTTAACATTTAGTATTCTTTTTTGAAATTTCTCATATCTCTATCTAAACTTTTTGTATGAGTTTATTTCTGTGTTCTGTTTGCTTGAATTAATAGAAAGAGCAAAATAGTTTCTGTAACTTATTTTACAGTACAGGAGTATTATTATTAATATTATTATTACAGTATTATACTATGTTATTACTGTCACATATGAGCCATTATAATATTGTTTGTATTATTATATGATATAATTATTATTATTATTGTATATGTATTAGGTAGATAGTGAGGGATCCTGGGTCTCCTCGGGAAGAAAGTGGGTGCTGTTGCCTCCATCTTGTTCCTGTCACACCCTAATCATCCGAGTGACTGGACTGCCATACCTGGGGGAGGAGGGAATACTCTACAAATCTTCCAGTCATAATTTAGCATGCCAGCTCTGAAAGAATGCAGAGGACTCTCTAGCTCATGGGCCAAGCAGCATAGGTACCATAGAGTCCGGAAATTGACATAGAACAACCTGCATGCTTAGTTAAGATTCAGGTCATGTGACTCCCAACTTCTAATCAAAGTGGTTCCATGGTGACTTCTGAGCCATGAGGGAGGTCCCAGTCTGGGCACTATAAAACAAGAGGCAGACCATAACCAGGCCCTTTTTGCACCCCTCCTTTGGCTCTCCCTTTGCTGCAACAGTGGGTCCGATCGTCATCCATGGCATATGTATCATGCTGTGTAATCCCACATCTTGCTCTTGTTCTATAATCCTATCTTGCCCCCCTCTCAATTAAACTGCATCTCATGCTTGCCTTACTTTGTGCGTCTGGTCATTCTTCGGCCATGAGTGCACTAAGAACTGACATTCCAGACTAAAACCTGACATGTACACTGTTCATCAGGTAACTGAGTTACGTAAAAATCTGACCTAAAGACTTTGTCAGGAACATACCTTGTCCGTAACCTAGGAACTGGCTGTGTGGAGATCAGAGAAAACAGGCTACTCTTACCATGGCCAAGAAATTGTTTTCCCTTATTGCCAGATATGAAATTTAAAGCAAGTAAAATAAAGTGTTAAGTATAAGAGAATAAATATTATAAAGTTCAGTTCATTTGCTGCCATATAATAAACATCTATAAGCAAATTCAAAGCAATTACTTTATTTAAGATCTTAAGAGAGAAATTTTAGCCATTAGGTAGCTTATTCCAATAAATCTATCATAGGAGGAAGAGCACAAATGTTGTTACCTGCTTAGCATACTCTAACACTGCAGCAGAGCAAATTTGGTGGAAGTATACCTCAACTGTGCAACAAGTAGCACAACTTTCTATTTTATATTAGGCATGAGATCTTTTTCTCTAGTTATCTAGCTGAGGATGAGTTCTCTGCTTAATTATTTACACACACACACACTTTGCCTACATAATTTATTTTTACTTATGCAATCCCTATGTGCCATTTTTTTCATAATAGTCACACATATTTATTTCTAATAAAAAACTACATGAAAGAACATAAATGCATATATACATAGATATTTTGCTACATATATTATATATACATTATGCACGTAGTTTAATAAAGTTTAACCCTTGAGAAGCCACCATGATACATGACGTGGTTCAAGAGTTGTCTTAGACAGGAAGAACACCTCTTGCATGGTAGCAGTACCTGTGGAAAAAAATTGTGCGAATGAATTAAGTTTTTAGTTGGAGTAGTATGACATTTCAGGGGCAGTTTCTCAGTTTTTTTCTCATTCCTGCTACACCATTCCTTTGAATTCTTCATACCCAGTCTCTGTAGGATAGAATTTGTGAGAAGTGGCCAGTGGCACATGCTACTTTGACTTATTTTAGGAAACAGTGCTTTCCAGTTAGGAGTTAGGGCCCATTCAGGGCCTAGTTTATAAATCTGAATCTAAATATGAATCTAATATTCAGAATTATAAGTTAGACTTGCAGTGAGATACCACCATACACCCACAAAAATACCCAAAATTATAAATACAGAAAACATCACGCACGTGCAAGAATGTAGAGCAACTATAATTCTTATCTATTATTCGTGGTGATATAAAATGCTATAACCTTTTCTGAAAAGGAATGGAAATTTCTTCTAAAGTAAGAAATATACTTATCACACTAGCTAGCAATTCTGCATCTAGTTATTTATCAACAATAAGGAAACACATGCTCACACAAGGGCTCATATACACAGAATGTTCATGGAAATTATGTTCATCATAGTTGAAACCTGGACACACGCAAATGTGAATCAAACTATTTCTTATTTCTACAAAGTAATACCACTCAGCATAAAAAGGAGAGAGCTAATGATATACACAGCATGGATTACCTTCATTTCTCTTTCTCTGTGAGAGAAAAAAGCTGCACACAAAACAATACTCTGGTTGTCTTAAAGAATAGGTTGTTGAATGAGAAGTGTCATAAAGGAAAATTTTTGAGTATTTAAATGTATTATGTTTTCACAGGGTTCTGGGGTATATGAATTAATGTACTTGTAAAAACTACCAAATTGTGTGTATAGGATTTGTAGATATCACTGTGTACACATTTTACATAAAATATAGAACTGCAAATAAAAATGGTCTCGGCTCAGGCCACTTTTCTCCCCACCCTATTCAGCAGTTAAATAAAGGAACACCAAAAGCAAAAGGTTGAATTAATTCAGAATCAAGGTTTGTCAAAGACAGAGACCAAGAGAAAGAAGTTGAAATTATTAGAAAGAGCACAGTTAACGTGAAAGGCCAAAAGGGGTTGACTGCAGGGGAAGAACTGAACACTGGGAGAAAATCAATGGGTAAATGTAGAGAAGTCAAGTCAGGTCAAAGAAAAAGTTTAGGGAGAGTAGCCAAGGAACAATGCTAGAATCATCACAAGTTGCAGTCAGAGAGTTCAAGGTTAAAATCTAAGATTTTTAGTTAATTCAACAAATCTATGTTTGACAAGCTCCAGGGTTTGTTGATGTGAGTGATGGATTGATCTACCATGGTAAACTCGTTTCCCAGGTCTGCTAAAACAAAGTTTTGCTAACTATTTTTTTTTTTTTTTAGACAGAGTCTTGCTTTGTTGCCCAGGCTAGAGTGAGTGCCGTGGCGTCAGCCTAGCTCACAGCAACCTCAAACTCCTGGCTCAAGCAATCCTCCTGCCTCAGCCTCCCAAGTAGCTGGGACTACAGGCATTCGCCACCATGCCCGGCTAATTTTTTATATATATTAGTTGGCCAATTAATTTCTTTCTATTTATAGTAGAGACGGGGTCTCACTCTTGCTCAGGCTGGTTTCGAACTCCTGACCTCGAGCAATCCGCCCGCCTCGGCCTCCCAGAGAGCTAGGATTACAGGCGTGAGCCACCGCGCCCGGCCGCTAACTATTAATAGATGGCTTAGCACACCAGAAGTTGATTGATTTACGATGTTGACAGCTAGGAGTGCAAAATCAAGATGCTATCTGGGCCTTTCTCCCTGTGAAGGCACCAGGTAAGGGTCTGTATCTGGGCTCTCTCTTAGCTTCTAGTAGCTTCAGGCATTTTGGCTTGTGGATGGTTCTTTCTGTGTCTTCACATGGTTTTCCCTCTGTGTGTGCCTCTGCCTCTTCAAATGGCATTCTCCCTGTGTGTGTGTCTGTGTCCAAATTTCCCAGTTTTATAAGTACATAGTAATATTGGATCAGGGCCCAAAGAAATGACCGCCTCTTAACCAATTGTATCTGCTACAACCCTATTGCCAAATAAAACCACATTCTGAGGCACTGGAGTGTAGGACTTTAACATATGAATTTGGGGAGGACATAATTCAACATACAACATGTAGAACATATCTATGGAGCTGGGTTACTGAAGGAATTGAGAAGATGGTGATGGACACTGAGAATGCTGAGAGAGGAGCATGTGGTGACATGACATGAGTCAGAGGAAAGAGCAGAGGAACAAGGGTCTGGATGTGGCATTGAAACCAGAGCAGTTGCCACTGGGGAGTCAATATGTGTAAAAAAGAGACTAATAATTTTTGAGAGAAAGCCAAGTTGACCTTATGTGCAGCCTGAGCATGCAGAAGAATTGGTTGTCGTGAGAGGGGTCACAGTGACAAGGCTGAGTGGAACAAGAGGGATCAGAGCGAGTGGGACAGCAAGGCGAGTGCAGGTGTGAGAGCCAGCTCTGCCTACACAAGCCTCTGAGCTGGACACTTTCTCACTCATTGTCCTCGCCATATTTACTTAAAATAACATTACACCTTATGTCTTTTAGTGCTTAAGAGGAAAAGGCCAAACTCTTTTCCCTGAAGGCCTTTGCAGTAGCTGTTACCTCTGTTTGAAACATGATATTTGCATGGCTGGGTCATTAAAGTTATCCATCTCCTAGTTTAAATGTCACCAGCTCAGAGAAGCCTTCCCTGCCAAAGCAATCAGAAATGACTATCTGGCCATTATCCATCACGTCACAACTGATTTTAACTCTTTGCATAGAAGACATCACTATTGGACAAATTTCTAATGTATTTATCTGGTATCTATTTCACCATGCAATATATAAGCTTGAAATGAAAAGGAATCTTAACTCTTGATCACTTCTGTGTTCCCAACTAGTAGAGCAGTGACTGGCATAGGGAAGCACTTACAATATATTTGTGGAATGAAACTTGGTATCTGTTTGGTTCATCTTCATGTTCCCAGCATATAGCACAGACTCTGCCATAGATAGGTGCTCAATAAATAATTTCAAATGAATTGATAAATACTTTGATAGGTAACCAAATATAACAACATTTTCAACAATTGTCAAAGATGACACAGATGGAGAGACATGATGGAAATTTTTCCAGCTGCAAGTTTTTAGAATGAATTATTTCCATCAAAATTCTGGAAGATATAGTAGGTTGAATAATGGGTCTGAGAGATGTTCAGTCTGAATCTTCAGAAAATGGGAATAGGTTATCTTATATGGTAAAAGAGACTTAGCAAATGTGATTAAGTCAAGGATCCTGCGTTGGGGAGATTATCCTGGATTACCGGGTGGGACCCCTGTAATCACCAGGGTCCTTATAAAAAGGAGGCAGGAGGATCAGAGTTAGACGGATAGTGATGTGATTAGAGAAACAGAGGGGAGCAAGTTAGAGAGAAGTCTGAAGATGTTACTCGGCTGGCTTTAAAGATGGAGGAAGAGGCCACAGTCCAGGGAATGTAGAAAGCTTCTAGGAGCTGGAAATAACAAAGATTCTCCCCTAATGTCTCCCTAACATGTCCAGAAGGAATGCTAGCCTAGTTACCCATTTTAGATTCCTGACCTCCAGAGCTATAGAAGTATATATGTGTGTGTTTTAAGTGACTTAATTTGTCATAATTTATTACAGCAGCAATAGGAAACACATACAGTGGGTGAGGAACAGAGATGGGAAGCTTGGATTCATGGATTCATTGAACATCTGAAGGTATCTTTGGATGGTAAGTTTGACTTCCCACATTATATTTATAAAGCAGTTACTATATTTTAATATGTAAGTGCATATATGTAAATGTGTATACACATATATTTTATATGGCTTTCCTACATGATACTAATTCATAGAATAAAACAAAATTGCTATTACTTAATTCCAGTGTATACGTATGCAATTGTTTCGTCCCTTAGCCTTATTAGAAACATGATTGACCTCTTTATTCACTATCCTTTGAGTTATGCACACTTCTGTCTTATGAAAACAAGAGTCCTATAAATGGGATGCTTTGATGCTGCCTTACAATAGACTAAATCTAAGTCATTAAATGACAATAGAAAAGTAGGATTTTACAACTCAGGGAAATCTTTTTGTGCTCACTCCTTAAATTATGATCCATGGATCAGCAGCATTTGCAGCACCCGGGCACTTACTGGAAATGCAGAACCTTTGTCCAACACTATGGAATCAGAATCTGCATTTTAATAACATCAACAGGCAATTCGTGTGCACATTAAAGTTTGAAGAACAATGGTTTGTTTCATCTAATCGAATTTTGTTTTGTGAATAAAAACTTATTTTCTGAGAAATTAACAGTCAGCAGTAGGACAAGAAATCAATTCTCACACTTTTCAACCAGGAGCTCTTTCTGTGAGGATTTTTCCCCCGTAGTATTAATAATACTTTTTAAAAATACTTTCTTTTTTTTTCTTTTTTAGGGAATAATTGACACACATCTTTGACATAAGTCTGAAATATACAGAGGTCATCAATGCTGCCAAGCCAATATGATCAACCACTTTATGTTACTATATTTTAAGTATTTAATCCTTAAAATTGAAACCACCAACTACTAATTTTGAATGAGCATTTTACCTTTAATTATGATGACCACTTTAGGGCCAAAGGTGCAGGGTGGAAAACATGTTGCTCTATATGTGCATATCTCATGTGTTGTCTTCCTATTGGGTTAGTTATTTCAGTCTCTCACCTCTGAGGGTAACTGTAAGTGGTAGAAGAAATGCCCATAATAGAAGAAAAATAGATCCATGAAGTTGGAGAAGTAAATCAAGTCCTGAGTATTAACAAGGCAGTCAACCTAAAACTCCACCTATATAAAAAGGGCAAAACGTTTTTGTTTTCAATAGAGTTGATTTGTTGGATATATTCAATTATAAATTAGATTATACTTATTTTGCTACCAATTTTGCTGATTTTTAAAAATATCACAGAGGCATTGATTAAATTGTCTTGCAAATATTATATATAAATTACACATAAGATCCCTAAATATTTCACTTATAATAAATGCCTTATATTCTGAAGAGAAAGAAATAAAGCCTTCTAGAATATCACTTAAATATAAGCCATAAAAATGTCAATCTAAATAGCTTCCTCTGCTATATTGATTATAATGACTCAACTAGTGACATAGATAACACAAAGTTAAAATCAGAAGACAGTCACAAAGAAAAAAAATATGACCATTTGAAATGAAAATTAAACAATAGATTTATAAGAAACTTTTTAATTATAATTATTTTGTCTGTGCTTTTTTATGTAACCTCAAACTATACTCTTTATAAATTTCATAAAGGAATGATTTATTTATATTAAGCAACCTAAAACTTCCATCTTATTTATGATATTATAATACACTGGTATTGGAAGTTCTTTGGTAATCTTAGGAAAATATGTATTCATTTTTTACAGTTTATATTGACCACAATGAATTGTCTTTTTATTCTACAATTTCTCTCCTAACCTGTCAAAATATATTAAATACAATGTCATTCTTTAACGGTCGAAATGAAACTAATCACACATTTTTGTTATAAACATATTCAGCATATGTCATTATTTTCTTTATTGCTTAAGGTAATGGAAGAAAAGTCATTACATATTTGAAATCGAAATAATAATGAACTGCTTCACAAATAATCAAGTGTACTTTTTTCCCCATAAAATAAAACCAAAAGTGACTATATTGATTAGGAAAACTTGAATTTTCTACATTGTGGCAAGAGAAATGAAAAACAAATGATTTAAAATTAACAGTAATAAGAGAATAGACCCACATCTTAAGCATTACTAATATAGATAAGAAATATTGTTGATAAATAGATGGTTAATAGTCTTATATAAGAATAAATGGAGTTACGACTGACAGTTACATGTATCAGTCAGAAAATACATTGCTATTTTGAATAAAATTGTATAAACTATAGGACATACATTAAGAATAGTGATAATTCCTGTCATTTCAGGTGCAGTGTGAGGTACAAGTGGCTATGTCAGAGAAACAGGCCTTGGTTCCATTACTTACTAGCTGTATAAATACACTAACATTATTGAACTTCCCAAAGCCTTTGTTTTCTTCCCTGTCGAAAGGTAAACTTATATTAGTTCACCTCCCAGGGGTAAAATTGATTGAATCTATTAATATTTAAACAATATTGCATAAACCAAGTATAGACATCATGTGAAAATAATGAATTTGAGTGATATCTTGATTTCTCAAATTATAACTACATAAGTACAACAAGGTTGTCAGCATCACATATTTATAAAATATGCATAGGTCTATATTTAATTCAGATACACAACTGAAGCATCAACTTAATGAATCAATCAGTCTATCATGATATTTTTGTATTGAACTTTTAATTCAATCATAGACCCTTTCACTCCTTTCCAAGAGCAACTAATATATTTAAAATGAGAAATGCCACTTTTTGGAATTGATATAATAATGCAAATTTAATAGGTCTTCATAATGATATCATTTCTTTGCATATACCCACAATCATCATTAAGGCAAAAACACTAAAATATTCATTGAACATGATGAGACAAAAATTAAATCTCCCTATTTTGATACAGATTCATCTTAGAAAAAATCCTCTAGGGAAAGGAAAGCCTCTTGTGTGAACACAAATCTTGGTTCAGATGCTTCTGATGAGGAGAAGCCGACATCATCATACCTCCACCCTCCCATCTCTTTCCATTGGCATGGATCTGACTGTGAGCAAGATGTTGTTTTTGTTATGTTTGTTGCTTTCTTTTGGTTTGATGAAGCACCAGTAAGCATGAGAAGCATGAAGGGAATGTTAAGGAAGTGGAGATCATCTGTCTCTGCCCTCATCTGAGAATGTAGATTTTAGTCATCTTGTGAAAATGACAAAAACAGGTTGAAGGAGGCATGCTCAGTGCAAGACTAAACAAAAGCAGTGCCACTGATAAAATAGGAACAAATCTGAAAAGGTTACCTGCCACACAGACCTACAAGCAGACCCAAATAGATGCTCTCGGGGAGTTAACAAGCAAAGATCTCTCTAGATAAGCAAGAAATAAGACCACAGGACCTTGTAGAGGAGCTTTGTTATGGAGGCCTCCATCAGGACCGTCTCCTAAGTGTTCTATTGGTACTTCCCTTCAATGCACCTCAATGAGCAGCCTCATATAGAGTAATCTGAAATGCCTGCTCCTGCTTATCTGTAAAATATCCCTATCAGTTTTCCAATTCCTTCCATTTCCAAATTATCACAAACCAAACACCTTAAAACAGTACACTTTTATAGTATTGCAGTTTCTGTGAATCAGGGGTTGGGCATGGTTTAATTTAGTTTTCTATTTCAGGGTCTCCCCAAACTGCAATTTCGGTGTTAGTTGAGGTTGTGGTCTCAACAGAAACTTGACTGTGGAAGGATTCACTTCCACGCTCATGTAGGCTGAATTGCCAGAATTCACTGAGATTTCCATTTCCTTTCTGGCTGTCAGCCAGGGGTGCCCTTAGGTTCTAATCTGCTTCCCATGTTGAACCATGTGTCCCATAAATAGCTATGTTGAACATGGCTGTTTGCTTTTTCAAATCCAGCAGGAGAATATCTCTGACCTCAGGGGCGGGGGGACCTGGTCCCTCTTTTAAGGGCTTTAACTGAATGAAGTGAGGCCCACATAGGATGTTCAAGCTATTCACATAGGATAAGTTGAAATCAACTAATTCGGTATCTTAATTACATTTTAAAAATATCTTCACATTTCCATATTCTGCAGGCTGCAAGCATATCACAGATTCTACCTGCACTCAAGAGAAGAGGATTACCACAGGTATGGAGATTCCCTAAGAAACTGAGTGTGGAATTAGTGAAAAGAAGATTGCTATTATGGGAGTAGCACTGATGAGTAACATCAGAATAAATCCAGATGGAGAAGCACCAAGCACTGTTAGTGACTAGGGACATAGATATATATGTGTGTGTGTGCATGTGTGTGTGTGTGTGTGTGTGTGTGTGTGTGTAGTGGGGGGGTGGTGCTGGCATGCATGCACATGCACCATGCTGATACTGAATCAGTATAAATGTCAAAATTGAAATGTCAGTTCTTCTAAGCATTTTTACAATTTGTAGAACTGGGACACTTTGTTTCAGTCATCCCCCAATTATTGTAAGATGTAAGAGTCAACTTTTATTTCTCTCACTTTACAGAACCATTGCTTCTCCAACAATTGAAACTTATTTACACTCACGCCACTAGCTTTGCTTGGCTCTACAGGGACAAGTCTTCTGCCAGTGATTGCAGATGTCACCCTCAAGAGTGATATTTTATTTTTCACTTCATTGGCAGGTAACAAATACAAATCAGTCATAATTTGTGGATATGTGTGACCATTCTAAAACTTCTTTAATTATTTGGGCTTCTAGGAAGGTATCTAATGAAAAAGATTTATATTTGGAATATCAGGATTTCAATATTGCTATAAATGCAAATTGGATTTGGAGAAATTCTTAGGTATACAATGTTATAAATGATAGTTGATAGCCGAGTATGTTATCAAGCAGTACATCAAAAATAGATTTCTAAATTATCATAACAAAGATCCTATATACTGATATTTTCATTTAGCTATCTTTTGTCTTCTTTATTCATGAATAGAACAGAAGAGATTATACAGCAAAAAATCAATTTTCAGAATAATTTTTCAGCTAAAGGTTTTATGTAATGGCTATAGAACAAAATTTAGGGTCTATCTCCATATTTCATCTAAATATGCTTAGAAGCTGAACATGTCTAGATAACTTAAATTCAATCCTTGGAGAAAAGGTTTATAATGTGTGTTCTCTTTCACAATAAATTACACTACTGTGGTCTCAGCATGCCTTAGGATTGCAGCTGCTTAGGTTAAAAAGGTCGGCCCAATCTTCTCATTTTATAAATGAGAAAATTGTGATCAACTGATCCATACATAAGAGTGCAATTTTTGAACCCAACTAATACCATCCCAGTAGTCATGCCTTCATTGTTGCTGAAAATTTAATTTACTTTGATACATAGATGAGATAGCAGAGAGATAGGAGGACCAAATTATTTTCCTTTGCTTAACATCCAATGGGTAGTTTTAAAGAGCATAGAATAAATATATGTTGATTTTATTGTCTATTCATTTTCTATGGCTATTTTTGTACTATCACTGTATTACTATCTTGATCTCCTAGAGGGCAAGTATCATAGTCTACATTATGAATATTGCAAACAACCTCTAATAATATTTTACATTCGAGGTATTCAATAGGTGATCATTGAAATGGTGAATCAATGAAAAGGAAATCATTAAGTCTGTAAGTTAATAAAATAACTAATACCAAAAGATAAGAAAAGCCTAATTTTAATTATTAAATTTACTTATACTAAGGCAAATAAAGGCAAAATAATAAAGCAGGACTTTCAAATTTGAAAGTAAAGCAGGGGTGGCTTTATAAAATAAGGCAAACTGAACCCAGTGTATAATATATACTTATCTCTAAAATATATTATTCTTAGAGATTTTGAATTTCTGAAAATACATTATTATCAAAGCAGACATAGCACAGCTTGCCTCATACTTTGATGCTGGATGACTAGTTCTTAAGCTATGTTCTTTTTGTAGCTAAATCCTTTGTTAAAGGGCTTGTAACTGTGCCAAAATAAAATAATAATAAAAAATACCATATAGCATAATATATCCACATTACTAATAGTTAGATTAAAATGAAAAGAGATTACAAAAATGAAGTGAGGTTTAAATCTACTTTTTTAATTGAATAACGGTGGCGGAATTTGTCTTATAATATGAGAATGTTTATTTTATTTTATAACTATGGGTTTATTCTGTAGTGACTGGTCATGTTAATTTAGCTAATGCACATTTAACAAAGCCAAACACAGTAAAAAGATGCCACAATTTTGTTATAATGCATTATATTTGAAAAATATTTTAGTATAAGTGATTGCTTATAAGGAAATATATGAACATGTTTTTATCAGTCGCTTATACAGAATCATCAAAAAATTTGAGGGGAAAATACAATTATGTAATTGGGTATTTTGTATGCAAATATTTCATGGGGGAAAAACAAATATATTGGCATTTATGTGAATATCACAACTGTGTAGACATTTTATATAGTTCCACCTCTGATCCGATCCCCTAGATGATAATAATGACTCAGAAAAAATATAATTATATACCAAAATAACTTTTAAACAAATATTAACCATGCAGATTGTTTATATGTAAAAGCACAAAAGCTATGTTTATTTATAAATTCAACAAGAACTTCCTGACTGGCTAAAGTTTAGGCACTTTATTAGACAGTGGGAATATAGGGAAACAATCCCATGCCTTCTAGAACCATGATTTGCAATTCTGGCTCCATTTCATTACTACTTATGGAGGTATTAAAATAAATATACCTAACCCCACTTGTGGAAATTTCAATTCAGAATTTCTCAGGCAAGTTCTAAGGAATTCTATTAACACTTTATGATCCAAATGAGTAAATATTTTTGAAAAACCAGCTTTCTATGAATCACTAACTAGTGAAGAAGACATCATTAAAATAATTCTAACACCATAGACATACTCCCTGAATACAGAAATGATTGTTGAAGTATAGCTGGCCCATTGTACCTGAGTATCTGAGTTTTTCTCAAAACTCATTTTGTAAGTCTCTGATTGTTTCATTTGGATTTTGAGTAGAGGGTAGGAATATACAACAATTTTCTTCTGTAAAACCTTAGCTATAGGATAGATGAGGTTAGAGAGGCAACCATATAAATCAGCATTTTGGAGTGTTTCTTGAAGACAAGAGGGAGTTATTGAAAAATTTTGAATAAAAGAGTCATATCTATATTCTAGAAAGTGAACACTGGTTGCACAATTAACATCTCAAGTCTTATAGGAGGAAAGGGTTCTATAGGAGACTGTTATAATAATCAAACTATAATAAAGGCGGCCTGAACTCAGATAGGAGTACATTTTAGAGAAATTCTGGAGACAGTCAATAAACCAAATAATTGTTGTATCTGGGGTACATGCTAGAAGGAGAAATAAAAAATGAAATCCATCCCTCAAATTCCAGCTTTATTGTCACATCCTTAGAGACCTTCCCAATCTCTCAATTTATATTATTACTCTCTGCACCCTCCATTAATACGGTATATTATTCTTTCATTGTATGTAACAAACTTTACAACTGTGTATTAGTTCAGTATTTGCCAATATATATTATACTATGAAACCATATGACCTCAGAAGATGAGAATTACATTTTTAATCACACTATTTCCAGTGATTAGGATAAATATTAATAGATTAGTAATATATATTGAAGAATATGAAGGAAAAGATGAACTAGACTTATTCATAATATAGTTCTATTATGCTATGAAGTACTTTCTATTTCTAGCCAATTTGAACTATTATTTCCAGCCACCGTATTCTTTTTATTTCCCCATTCCTTCTATGATTATCCTCTTCCCATAATATAGCCTATAGTTGTATTTCCTCTTCCCTTTTGTGCAAAATGTCCAAATAATACCCAGTCCTTAAATATTTCATTCTTAAATCCGTGAGAAAGAACTAGAATCACAGAGTGCACAAAACCCAGATAGAATACTACCTGGGTTTCAAAAAAAAAAAAAAAAATGAATAAACAGGACAGTGCAATATGCCTGTAAATTCTGGGGAAGGAGTCTAAAGCAGTTTCTAAGAAGACTAGGAGGCAAAGTGAAACATTGATCTCAAAATGAATGTCAGCATAGATTTCCACAACCAAAAATGTATATGGCAACTAAAACAGTAAAAATTGATACAACTTCCTCTTCCAGTCAGAATGGAGTGTGTATCAACAGTCCTAGTTGTGGTCCAAGACCTCCTTCTAAAAACAGATAGACACTGGACAAAATACATAGAAACAAGTTTTTTCAGACAATAGAAATTACTCTGCATAGGACTACAATCCCCGAGAAAAAGAAAATATGATCATTACAACAGCTCCCATTTTCTGCCTAGAAGTAATTCCTGGTCTGAAGTAGGAAACACAAGCCAAGATGTACTCTATATTCTGAACAAATTAGGAAGAAACAGAAATTGGAGTTAGGAGAAGCTAACAGAGTTGGCTATGAACGGGAGAATACAAAAGAGGAGGGAGTTATGCTTTGGCTGAATAATAATCAGTGCATATGTTGGATAAAATTCCAAAAGGCCAAGTATAAAACAACTGCTAGGGAAAGAAACACTACTCATGAGCATGTTAATGAAATACATGCCTGGGAGATGTTAAGAGTTTTAACCAGCTAAAGTGGAGAAATCTCATTCTAGACACAGAATATTTAGAAGAGACATCAGAAGCGTCATCCTTTAGTACCACTACTAAACTAGTTAGACTAAGCTAGTCTCTAACAAAGTTTATAAACAAATCTCAAGAAAATTAAACTCATTAATAAATTGGGGGGCAATTTATCTATTAGATAAAACATACTTCCATATTATTAAAAATAGCACAAGCAAAATATTTAAAAACTAAATAACAGAGCATCATAATATCTAACAAACAATACAATTATTAGACATGGAAAGAAGCAGGCAAACATAAACCATAATCACACTAAAAGATAGTTAATAGCAGTATATCAAAAAATGGGAGAGATGCTAGAAATAGTATATGAGAACTGAAAATAGCTGTTATAACACAAAGATTTAAAATAAAATACAAAGATGATGCAGAATATGACAGATATTTCTCGAAGAAACAAATGAAACTTCTAGAATGTGAATGTAATATATTAAAAATTACAAAAAGCCACTAGATTTATTTAGTAGATTAAAATTACAGAGGAAAATGTTAGCAAGTTTGATTATAACAATAGGAATTACCCAAACTGAAGTAGAGAAAGAAAAAAAGAGAGAAAAAAATTAACAAAGCCTCATTAACTTGTGTGATAACATAAAGTGGTGTAGCATATATGTATTAAAGTTCCAGAAGAAAAGAGGAAAAAGGGCAGATGAATATTAGATTGCTAATAAAATCCAATGGAAACAGTCTAGTCAGGAACAGTGTAGTATTGAGAGTAGGCAGGTAGTTCTTATAGTAACACACACACAGTAATGTGCCTGCCATTAATGAAGTGGGGAAAATTGATCCTACAGACACAACACAAATTAAAGTCTAATTTTCATACAGAAGCTGTTATTAAATGCTTTTTGATCACAAGCTGGTCTAGACATTAGGTAGCAGCTATCTTGAACGCTTAGGAGTGCATTTCAGATGGATTTTTAGAATAGCTTCATCAGAAAAAGGA